TTATTGTGGCTGATTATCAAAAGCTGCAGTTAGTAAAGAAGGCACAAGATCTCTCAGTGAAACTTTCAAAAGATTTTGGGCTTCTTTGCACAACAAGCTTAGGTCCCAGTTAAAACCTTAATAGGAAATTAGTACAATACCCCAACATTTGGTTAATTTGAAACTTGATTTCCACCTTCCACCTCCCCCACTGCTTTATTGGGCCAACTCAGACTGTTTGTTCAGTTTATGATTCATTGTCTTACGTAGATTCAGAAAATAAGCAATTTAACCTTGGTGAACAAACCAAGCGATTTTATCTTTAGGTGTGCGTCTTGGACCTTTTGAAACCTTGCCTATATTAGAAATAGCGTATTTTTGAGCAGAGAAACTAACGTCATGTGACATTTCAATAGCAAAGCTTGTAACATTCTAGCTCTGTCTTGCCTAATCTGTAGGAACAATCCAATTTTTCCAGTCCTGAGGTCTCATGTTGGATGACAAATGACAGGAACTGACCATCATTGAAGTGGAAAAGATTGCTGTAGTTCTCCCCAAATGCCTTGCTATGCATAAGAAGCTGATCACCAGAGCAAGATGCTTTAAAAGGGAATGAAGATAGGGATTAGCCATTGGTATAACAGCCAGTTTCTATTCATTTGCTTTAAAAAGGAAAGGAATCAAACTCTCAGCAAGTTTAATGGCTGTTTTGCTTTTGTTTCAATCTGTTGTTTGGAGCCTATCTTGACTATAAAACTCAAACTACCAAGATTAGATTTCAGAATGAAAAATAGTAAAACAAGACAAGCTGTTGTTAAGTCTGCATTTGTAACTGGTAAGATATTCATGTGTTGCTGATTTGGTTAAGTTGTGCTGTTTTGTTCTTACTTCTTTGTATTGCATTTCATTGTTGTTTTGATGTGCTTAAGGGGCCTATGACTTGTAATAAAGTCCTTCCTTCCTTCCCTCCCTCCCTCCCTTCCTCCTTCCTTCCTTCCCAATTAGCAGCAGTTAGCCACTATCTACATCAATTATCATCATCATTTTACCCATTGTGTATCCACAGCAGGATGAAGGGCGTTTAGATATGTCTCCAACCTATATGGTCCTGAGCTTTCTTTTGCCAATTAGGCCCCAGTACTTGCTGATATTATTGATCCATTTTCTTTTAGGTCTCTTTGGTGGACACTTTTTGTCAAGTGGGATCCATTCTATGACTGCCTTGGTCCACCTGCCATCAGTTCTTCTTGCTATGTGGCCAGCCCATTT